TTGACCGCATTACTGCAGAAGCTGCACCGATCTGCCTGTCAATCTCCCGTTCCATCCTTCCCTCACTCGTGAACAAGACCCCAAGATACTTGAACTCCTCCACTTGAAGCAGGAACTCTCCACCAACCTGAAGGGAACAAGCCACCCTTTTCCGACTGAGAACCATGGCCTCGGACTTGTAGGTGCTGATTCTCATCCCAGCCGCGTCACCTTGGCTGAAAACCGTCCCAGTGCACGCTGAAGGTCCTGGTTTGATGGAGGCAACAGGACAACGTCATCTGCAAAAAGCAGAGACGAGATCCTCTGGTCCATCACCAAAACAGACACCCTATGTTCCCTGACTGTGCCTAGAAATTCTGTCCATATAAATAATAAACAAAATTGGTGACAAAGAGCAGCCTTGGCGGAGTCCAACATGCACTAGAAATAAGTCTGACTTACTGCTGGCAATGCGAACCAAGCTCCTGCTCCGGTCGTACAGGGACCGGACGGCCCTTAGCAAAGGGCCCCGGACCCCGTACTCCCAGAGCACCCCCCACAGGACGCTGCGAGGGACACGGTCGAATGCCTTCTCCAGATCCACAAAACACATGTGGACTGGTTGGGCAAACTCCCATGAACCCTCCGCCACCCTGAAGAGGGTATAGAGCTGGTCCAGTGTTCCGTGGCCAGGACGAAAACTGCATTGTTCCTCCTGAATCCGAGGTTTGACTATCGGTCGAATTCTCCTCTCCAGTACCCTGGCATAGACTTTCCCTGGTAGGCTGAGGAGTGTGATCCCCCTGTAGTGGGAACACACCCTCCGGTCCCCCTTCTTGAAAAGAGGGACCACCACCCCGGTCTGCCAGTCCAGAGGCACTGTCCCTGACCGCCATGCGACGTTGCAGAGGCGTGTTAACCAAGACAGCCCCACAACATCCAGAGACTTAAGGTACTCGGGGCGGATCTAAAAATGATTAGAAATACAAATGAACTTTCTTATGCTGATTCTTGGTTTGCTTGTTTTTTTATTTTGCCATTGACATAGGCCATCACTTTTCAAAATAACTTCATGACTTCAGTGCTTTGTCTAGAGCCACATTACATAAATCAGTTTCATCCTGCATTGTTAATCCCTCCTCGTAACTGGGAAAAATATCTTTCACCCTCCACTTTTATCCGGGCTCAGCGACATGCGCAATTCAGACGCAGGGCGGTATGGGTCTCCTCTGCTCTGACTGCAGCTGGAACTGCTGCGTGAGGCTACTGTGAGAGCTTTGGGATGGGGGAGGGGCTCATGGCAGCACCCACTGCTCGTTGAGGACAGTAAATGTAGAGTGATATGTGCTTTTCTCGTCACAGTCTCTTTTCATCCCTCCCCAGTCTCTCTGCCCTCTGTTTGACCATCTCATCTCTTATACAGACCTGTCAGTTTGTGCCCCCCCCACTTTTCTTTTCCTCTTCCACTCCCAACTGCCATATGCATGCCATGTGGACCCTTCCATTAGCATCCATCCCTCAGAAAGCTCTCCTTTAACCTTTCCTTTCCATTCTCTCTCTTGCCTTTGCTTTGTTTGCTTTACTTTCTTGGACAGATGAGGTTGGTTTACAGAATGACTTACTGGGTCTTCCTTCACTTGGAGAGCACCAGGGAAAGATGTTGTACATATGGACCACCAACCTGTCTGTGGCCTAAGCACTTTGTTAGTCTCTTGTTAGACTGTGACTATGAAGAAGAGTGCTTGTAATACAGACCACTATTTCAATTCTTCATTTTTTATTAAAGGGTAGCACAGATTTGTAACAGGTTTGCTCCTTTGGTCCCTTAAAACGATTGGCACAGGAGGCAACTTTGAGTAACACATTATTACATAGTGATGTTTGTTATCAATGTTATTGCAAAAGCAGACAAAGAACTCCTTTGAAGCAAAGTAAAAGGGGAAACAAATTGAACAAAAATGCACATTGACAGAACTGGGATTAAGAGGCTAACAGACAATACTTAAAACATACACTATATACCTTTTTCAGTCAGCTACCCACATTGATACTGTTTAAGATGCTTTTTAAAAATATTTTATTCAGCATTTATAATAGGCAGACTTTCTGCCTTTAACCACTGGATGTGTAATTTAATCAGCAGAGTACGTGCTTCTAACAGTTAAATTTTGTATTTGTTGTCTTCAGCTATGGAGGAGCTGGATGGAGATGAGGTCAGAGTGTCCTCCAGGGGACACTTTGCTGAGAGAGACATTGTACAGGTGCAGTATATTCTAGCCTACATGCACACTGCTCTTCAACCTGTGTGACCAGTGAATCTGCATGGAGTTTGTTTTGTTAAACTTCAACCTATATCCTCAATGTATGTCAGTCAATATTGAATTCTGGATCAGTATTGTGTGGAGTACAATGGCTGCATTTACATGCACCCAAGTAAAGAGGTTACAGTTGGCTTTCTCTAGTAAACTGATTGATTAAAAAAACAGTCCTTATGAAGTCAGTGGGGATGTCATCACACTCCTTCTTAATCTCCCTCTAAGTCAGGGGCGGGCAATTAATTTTCCCAAGGGGCCACATGAGAAACTTTGATAGTTGTCAAGGACCGGACAAATACACCTACAGTTCTGCCCAACATGTATCTCTTTATAAAAAACTGTAAATGAAACATTACAATGATACAAAGAAATGTGGACAAAATAATACCAATATTTAACATTCACAAAAATGTGAAAAACTGTACAAAACTAGCATCCAATAATTTTACACAAAATATCAAGTATTTTAAAGACCAGCATCACATTAACTTCACACAAAAAGCAATAAATGCACACAGTACTGTTTGCTTTACCTCAGTTATTTTTTGTTGTTTAGTGAGAGAAATCTAGCCTGTTTTGGGCTTGAACACTTGCACTGAAGTCAGGATGAATATCTGATGTGGATATGCAAAGGACAGCACACAAGTGATCATCACTTAAAGAGGATCTGTATCTGGATTTGTTGAACTTCATCACTGACAATGTTTGTTCACATATGTAGGTGGATCCAAAGTGAACCAGCATCCTCTGAGCATGCCTCCTTAAGTTTGGAAAGCTCTCCTCTTTGAGAAGAATAGAAATCCAGCAGTGATACTGACTTAAAGTGCTCTGCCAGTAGTTTGTCAGACTGCAGATCGATGAGTTCAAGCTGGACATTACTGATTACATTATCTACACTGCTAGTGAAAGGAGAGGAAATCATGTGCATTTCACTCTCAACTGTTTTAAAGTCTTCAAATCATCTTGAAAATTCACCATGCAGTGACCGTAACATGGATGAGTACCTGCGCAGGTGATCAGCTGATGGTGTGACTTCCTTCAGTGTGGGCATGTGGGCAATAATGTTGCCCTCCAACTGGCTTGAGAGAAATTTCAGCTTTGTTATGAAAGCCTTCACCAGGCTTTACATTTCATGTACAAAAAGGCCCTTGCCTTGCAGCTTGGTATTTACAGTAGTTCAGTCATTAGTGCAGTCACATCAACAGCAAAAGCCAGGTCTGCCATCCAGTCTGCATCTGAGAGCTCTGTGAAATCCCTGCCTTTCTTCTCACAAAATTCATGGAGCTCTGCTCTCGGATCCCATAGTTTTTTAAGCGCCTTGTTAGAAATTAACCCAATTCTTCTGCTGGAAGCACGAGAAGTGAAGATAGCAGAGGACTGTTTAAAATCAAGAGAAAGTTTACTGAAAGTCTGATCACAGGTTGAGTCTTACACTGCTGGATTCAGAGAGATAGAGCTCCCACAGGAAAACCGGCTTCTGAATCCCGAGTTATGTTTTTACATTACATTTATATTCTTGGTCTAGGTCCGCCCCAAACAAAGGTACAACATTTCATGTATTGTAATCCTATTGGTCATTTAGCATGAGTAGGTCAACCCCTGCCTGCGCCTGCTTGTTGAAATGTGATCAATAAACCAGGTGTGTGTGTGTTGTGATGTGATTTTCCAGGCGGCAACTGAACAATGGGTCATCTGCGCTACAGACTCCCTATCTGGGTAATACTATTACAGGACAGAGCAGGACTTCATGAATACAGACACTATGTCTACACAGAAGTTAAAGTAGTCAATTTCTACTCCAGTATCACTTGACTCTCATCAATATAATTGGAAAATATATATAGGAAAGGAAAATAAATGTATTAAGTAAACAAGTCAGTATGAAGCGTTTGCTTTCACATGTTCAGAAATGCTATAATAGAGCTGTTTTCAGAAAGTTAGATCATATATGGTACAGACGGCTCACTGTGGGTGTGGTTTCCACACATAACCATGTACTGTGTACATGTTTTGAAAGGACACGTCAAACCAGCCACCCACATCATGTATAACCGCCTGGACAAAGTACTCATCAGTTTATCTGAGGATATGAATGTGCACATGTGGTCTGAAGGTGACTGGCTGTGCAGGCAAAGCTTCCAGGTTCACGATATGACACAAGCCCCAGTCTCCAGTGTGTGTTATAACTCACACAATAAGGAGTGTTCCTAGCTAACACAGTCATAGGGAAATGCCTGGGAAGAGGAACAGATGTTTTTCAAAGTATGTTAAAATCCCACAACAAGCCCCTGTGCTCTGCACTCTACAACAGCATTTTCAAACAGGTGGTCTCTGTTTTCTAGAATGCCGTGGTGACAGTATGGGATATTTTAATGGGAAAGGCCATCCTGCAGGTTAAGGTCACTCCAGATTAGCATGTGGGGCTCACTGCTATGTCATTTGATGGACCACAGCGCAGACTAATCACAATTTCCCAGGATGGGAAAGTCAGACTGTGGAACTTTAACAACGGAACAGAGCTTGCTGTTTTTCCCGTCACTGTGCCAAAGGAGGTGACAGGTATCGTCTGCAGAAACAATAGGTTGTTTGTATCAGGAAGGAACTCCAAGGTTATTTTTGACCTGGATCTGAACAACTGTGACCACAGGTTCTTCAAGTACAAATATTTAAAGGACATTTCCTCTATGGATGTGCATAACAATTTGCTGGTTGCAGCCTCCAGCAATGGAACTATTGTTATCTGGAATGCTGATACAGCTAAGGCTCTCTGCTGTCTCAATACCAGTATGAGCCCTGAAACACAAATGACAGCCAAAGCAGCTCAAGGCCAAAGGAGTCTGCCTGTCGAGAGGACAGCAAAGAGTGTCAGAGACACCAGAAAGATTCCTCCACACCAAAAAGCCACAGCTCTGTCAAAATCTAAGACAGGTGTGACTATCAGACCTTTTGTGAAATGTCTGAGGAAGAGAGAGCCCTGTGCTAACACAGCCACACTGCTGACTTCTGAAAATGTCTACATCTGTGCCTAGTCTACTGATGAACAGGGAGGCCTGTTAGCAAAATTCAAGGCAGTGAATGATGAAGGCGCAGTCATTACCACTATGTCAACTGACATCAGTGAACAAATACTACTGACAAGGGACAGTACCGGAAGGATTCACCTGTGGGACATTCAGGGATTTGGCTTTAGTAAAGAGGCAGACACCAAGCCATTTGAGGATATAAGTGGCTGGTTTGTCTCACTGTCTCCACCACCACTTCTGGGCTCCTGGGAGTCTCATTCTGAAGGTGTGGTGAGTGCACTATGCAGTTCAGATTGTGAAAACATTATTACCGCAGGCTTGGACTGCAATGTCCGACTATGGACAAACACAGGCTGCTGCATAGGCATCTTTGGGAAAGACCAGTGGGATGCAACAGATCTCTGCCCCAAGGAGAGCACTGATCAGGAGCAGAAAGAAAAAAATATTCAAATGCCACCACCATCACCACCTTTGTCACCAATACCAGATTCCACAGACCTCTATGAGAAAGTTGGAAAGGTAACCATGGAGACACCTGCTAAAATGTATGCCAAAAATCTACAGGCCCTAAAGATGCCATTAAAACACAATGTCCTTACACCCATTTGTGAGGTTAAACACACAAACCTGCAGACTCAGTTCAACTCACAGCCAAGTCCTCCCCTTAGAAGTAGCGCTGCAAGCTCACCTCAGACAGCAACTGTATGGTTGAACCGGATTAGAGCTAAATATATAAATATGATCAACAATCCCCTACAGGATACTGTATTACAAGGACCTCTCTTTACACCATGTCCACAAAAGAACTCTGCCAGGCACACAGGAAGCTGAGCACGCATCAAAGTCTGTACATCTTCCACCAGTTCTTAATAAAGAGCAGTTCAGACAACATCAGACGCTTCAAACCAGAGGCAACACTAACGCTACAAAGAGTTCATCTGACATGCTGCGATCAGCTAGGACATTCAAACAGGAGTCTGAGCAAACGTCAAAGCATGTACATCTTCCACCCATTTCAGATACACTGCATGCTCCATGCTCAAACTTGGGCCGACTCAGTTCAAACCACACCCACCTCAGACCACCAGAAGCTTTTCTCAGACAGCATCTATACATTTGAAGAGGACTGGGCCAAAAAAATGATTGTGTGCTCAAGTGTCAGCCATGAAATGCATTACAAGGAAGTCTCCCTACACCATGTCCACTCTGCCACAGGATGCACTAACACATCAAATGTCTCAGCACACATGAAGCAATCTGCTGGAGCAGCCAAACAGAGATCAGAGCAATCATCAAACCATACATTCTTTTCCATTCTTGTTTGATGAAGTCCCACCATCCAACCCTGCACACCACAATTAATTTCATTCCTTTAATTCATTCATTATTTAGTTTTATTATACAGGTTTACTCCGGGCACTCCGGTTTTTCCCACATTAATGAATAATAATAAAAAAATACAACAATCCATATGTTAAATACAAAATTTGTTTAAGTTTTCATTAACAGGAAAGACTCGTTTAGCTTTTGCGCCATACTTTTTTTGTTAATGTCTACACCAAACCTTCATCAGGGCTAGTGCAGGAGAATAGAAAACAAGAAAAACACAGAGGTAGAAAAGTTAACAGCACGAGGTATGGAAAAAAACTCTCATCTGGACAAAGAACGCGTTAGAATAAACGTCTTCTTAAAATAAACTTGAGTGTCTGAAACCATATCATGTATCGTAATCCTTGATTACAGTTTAAAGGAGAAATCTGGTAGTATGGGGATTAGAGATACCGGATTTCCCCTGAGAACTCCATTTTCTCTGCCAAGTATATTTGGGTTTCTTATTGGATTTAAATGCACGTCACAAGACTGCAGACAATAGCATATTTTGAGTATTTAAACAGATTTGCTATAGCCACTACAAACTACACACCACCAACAACTAACAATGTCACAAATGCCAAATGAAGGAAAAGTTCACTCTTGACATTATCAGACATTTTTCCTTTTTCCATCCAGTTCGTTCCTTTCCGGGACTACATCGACCGCTCAGGGAATCAGGTCCTGAGCATGGCGCGCCTGGCCAAGGACGTCCTGGCTGAGATCCCAGACCAGCTGCTCTCTTTCATGAAGAGTCGGGGTATCGAACCCCGGCCCCCTCTGCCCACCACCTCAGACTCCCCCTCAGTGTCCACCACCACCACAACTGCTTCTGCCCCCAAGGAACGCAACATGCATGCTTGAAAATGAGGGCACTGAGCTGGACAGCTGCAATATGGCAAATTGTGTGTGTACGTGTGCGTTGCATGATTTCAGGTTTGGCTGACAGGAACAGAGTCAGAAGTGTTTCCACTGTAAACATAAACAGAATCCTATCAGAACAGAGTACATTTAATTTGAAGTGTTTATGGCAGAGGTTCTTCTGATAAGATTTGCATGTCAAAAAATACACTTTGGATTCTTGTAACATTTCTGGGTCTGACTTCTGTCAGCACCTGTCACTATAGAACCTGTGCAGATGCAACATGCGACTCTGCGATGGCACATAAACTGCATTTATTAAAGCAAGGCTTCAGATGTAGTTTAGCACTTTTTCCTCAGTCATCAGTTCTAATATTTCAGGTGAGAGACAAAGGCCACTCTGGACTGTCTTTTTTTTTTTTTGACAGCCCAACTTTTCCTACTGAAGTCCATCTTTGGAGCTACCCACCCAGCTTCAGTTTTTATGACACTTCTCTTGCTCACAGTAATAAGAGTGTCTGCTGTAACAGAGTAACACATCTCAAAGTTGCTGGTAATTTGATTTCTAATCGGTTGCAATGACAGACAGCACTGAGGTTGTTGTCCTTTTCCTTGTTTACTCTCAGGGCATTTTTAAGGCTTGGCAGAAACATAAAGGAAGTGAAAAAGAGAAGCAGAAATTAAATCCTGTCCTTGTTTTGGGATCTGAGCAATGGTGGACATTGTTTTTTTTTTCTGTATTGCTTTAAGAAAATGTATGCTTTACATTACTCATTTCTAAACATGAAATTCAAATACGGTATGTTATGAAAAGAGGCGCTGAATGCTCTACATTTCAAGATCAACATTCAGAAACAGAGTGTTTACAAGTCTAAACTAATCCCACTTGAACATGAAGGGAGGTGCTTGCAAACAGCTCCTGAAAGCAGGAAATATATAAGGCCATGAAACTGGATCGGGATGGAGAACGGACTCAAATATTCTCCCCCAGCCACTGGCTTTCTAGAGCATGTACCTGTTTCAAATGAGTAGAACTGGTCTTCATATGTAGCAGAGAATGTATGAAAACATCAGGCCTTCATTTGTTACTAGAAAAAAGAAAAACAAGTCAAATGAAGACTGAGGTTTGGTATAAACTGTAGTGCTGTGTCAGTCAGATGATTTTCAGGGAGTTGCACTGGCCGACTGTTTTTGGAAACGTATGCACATTTTTCCCTCATCAGTTCTGGTGTTTGATATCTGGCTACATGTTTGCCTGTGTGTCCCCCATCAGGCTGATATTCAGTGAATGTAGACTTTTTTCAGTCTTTATGATTTCAACTATTATGCTTGTGTCATGCACATGAATGACTCAAGCTAAAATGAGCTAGTGGTTGACTAAAAACCCCAGATGGTATTTTGTTTCTACAGGTTATGTTCTTTTTCTCTCACATACACTCCTAAGAAATTATTGTACAGTTTGATTAAAACTTGTCTCTGACACTGAGAGAAAGCTTAGCAAGCAACTAGAGAGAAGTGGTTCAACCTGGCAGCAGCTCAAAAAATTTTGAGTGGGGCAGATTTCTTTAAAGTAATAACAATAATGAGTTGATTTATCGGGATTTGTCTGGACTATTGAATATGTCATGTATCAGAAAGAAAATGGATACGTGGCCTTATTTTTGTCATTAGTATGTGTAAGGGAGGACTATTTTTATAAGACAACTAAGGAAATCCATGTTATTTTGCATGCTAATTAGGCTGATATGCTGCGAATGAAAATAATCTGTATCATTGTTCATGCCTGAAAATGACTTCAAATAACATTCCTACATATGTTGACTTGTATACTTTGCAGGAGCATTCTTCCTATTTCTACTGTTATTGTGTACAGTATACTTGAAGGAACTGCCAATGTAATAATCCAAGACGTATAGGAAATATGTGAGTAGTAAGTTAGATTTGTATCACAGTGATTTAAACATGCATGCCTGCGTTATGATCAACAAGTACACTTATCAAGTCACTTAACCCATTGGGATTTTTTGTATGAAGCATGACAAGCTTTCAATACAGTGTGTACAGTATTAGTTAATTAAACTAACAAAAACAATTTCCTGCTAACTACTTCTCCCCATTCTAGTGTGTTCATCACAGCCTTGGTACATGTAGGTCAAATGTAAATCCCTCCTTCAGTTTTGTTCCTCTCTCATACTCTAAATGTGTCTGTTAGTTTTGTCTCCATTTGTGTTGATCAGAATTGATACATTTTTCACTGTTTCTTGGGAACTAAATAAAGATATTATCTAAAGCTCATCTCTTGTCAGTGCCTAGCAGTGTAGCTATTGGGCTATGTTGGGGACCACACAAAAGTGATCAGGGGTGTAATTTTATTTTCTTTATCAGCTGAAGGGAAGATATTCTGAATTTTTGGGAGAGAAAAGAAAGGCTTTTTAATTTTCAGTCAGTACAGATATATATTTTAGCCTTCCTTTGTGGGATTAATCTTTTATTAAAGGGACCATATCCTTACAAATGATAGTGTGTGCAGCGTGTCACAAAGGTGCAGAGGCCAATAACCCTAAGTTTCACAGCATAATTTTTTTTATTCTAATTGTAGCCCACATCATAACAGAAAGTATATTATAAGTCATGTCTTTGATGAATAATGGAGTGAGTGTATTCTTCATCATTGAGTAATTTACTGTTGTAACAGTAATTGGTATTGGTAATGGGTATGGCTTTTCTTTACAAAAATGAAATAAAAGCTTCAAAATATTCAACTGCCCTCCTCACTCCAATGAAATATGTACAGCAGCTTAGTCTATTACATTACAGTTTGTACAATACAAATACATATTTACCCATACATTAGAAAACTGTCAAACTTTATGGCATTCTCTCTAGGTCAAGGTCAAAGTGTTTATTTGTCATATGCACAGTTAGGAAATGTGTTTCCCTGTACAATGAAATTCTTACTGCCATCCACATTAATGCCACAAAATACAAATCAAATATAAAGTAGATAAATAAGTAAGTATCTATTAAGGATGGTTAACTAATTTTAAAAAAAATGTAATAAAGTCTGTTTTATTTTCTAATGCATAATATTTTCAACTATCAAGATAGATAGATAGATAGAACCTTTACTGTCATTTTGCAATGCATACAGTGGTAGTACAAGCAGAACAAAAAAGCATATCATGCATGATCCTTCATACATAAAAATACAAACATACACTCCATTGCATAATAAATACTTTACACTTTAAAACATCTGTTTAAAATAATCTATCAATTAAATATCAGTTAAAACCCCAATGTTCTGTACCCCACAATGTAAGTGATAAGATTAAACCTTCTGTCTATCAACCATTCAGCAGGCTGACAGCCTGAGGAATGAAGCTGTTTAGCAGCCTAGTTTTGCTTCTCACACTTCAATGCCTTCTATCTGATGGTAGTAGTTCAAAAAGTTCATGAAGAGGGTGTGAAGGGTCCTTAACAATGTTCAGTTCCCTTTTTAGCAATGACATAGCAACAAGTCCTGGACAGAGGGTAGAAAGACTCCAATTATCTTCTCCACTCCTCTCACTACCCTCTTCAAATCTTTCTTGTCAGACACCTTACAATAAGCATACCAAACCAAGATACAGTATGTCAGTACACTCTCCACTATACCTCAGTAAAATGTGGTAAGGATACTGGTTGGAAGAGAAACTTGTTTCAACTTCCTCAGGAAATGCAGTCTCTGATGGGCTTGTTTAACAATCCCCATGGTGTGCATGGACCAGGTTGGGTCATTGGTGGTCTGTACCATGCAGCCACTGATACTGAGGGGTGTATAGTCAGGTCTTATCCTGCGAATGTCAGTGACCATTTCTTTTGTCTCGTCCACAGTGAGCACCAGATTATTGTCTCTGCACTGACCCACTAGATGTTTAACCTCCTCCCTGGACATTGATTCGTTGTTATTTTGAATAAGATCAGGTTCCCCTTGCACCTAGATACACAGTCATGTGTTAGCATTGTAAACAGCAATGGTCTGACTATGCAGCCTTGAGGGGATCCAGTACTCAGTGTGATCCAGTTGTAGATGTTTTTCCAACCTGTACAGCCTGCGATCTCCTGGTCAGAAAGTCCTGGATCCAAAGACACAAGATGGAGTTCAGGCCAAAATAATTTGTCAGTTTGGGTTAATAGGCAAACTGAAGTTGATCTAATGATGCAAGGAGGTTGGCAGTGATGTGTGGTTTTACCAGTCCTTCAAAACACTTCACTACAGTTGTTAATGTGAGTGGGCAGTAGTCATTCATGCTCACTATGACTGGCTTTTTTTGCCACTGGTGTGATGATGGAGGCTTTGAAGCATCTGGGAGCAGTGACCTGACTGAGGGAGATGTTAAAGATGTCAGTCAGGACATCTGTCAGTTCATCAGCACAGTCGTTGAGCAATAACCCAGGATATTATCTGGGCCTATAGCTTTCCATGGGTTGACTCTGGTTAGGGTCACAATGTGAAGTTCAATAGAGAAGGACTAATACAGGGTGAGTCATAAATGCACTGTGCAAACCCTGAGGCTACAATCCTCTTTAAATATTGGTTTAATCAATGAGATCTTGTTTAAATGTTTTATAGTATTACACTGCCACTCAGTGGAAATAGAATGAAAACACACTGACTGGGACTAGAAGTGTACATTTCTTACATTATGAAAAGAGTTTGGGCTTCATACTGTAAATACTTTTATTTACAGTATGAAGCCTTTTTTAGCAGAATGATTTTGTTTTACAAATGTATTGATAAATGTTAAACTAATCCCACCAGGATCCACTAGTGCAAATTCCACCCCACAGCTTCATTAAAAAAATACCTTTGCTGCTTTCAGGTTTCCCTCGTAGCTGTTATTTCGATATATGATGGACCTACAATGTGCATCAGTCTTCTAAAAATGTACCATTTTACACAATATTGTGGTTGTAGTTAACTGTGTTATACAGTAATGTATGAAATAATCATTTGAAACAGAGACATGCTCTCGACATGTTTTATGGCTTGCATGCATTTGTTATCCTAAACATGTCAATGTTGGTTATCTAAAAACACTAGCCTGAAAAGCCGAACTTACACAAAAGGTTTACACTTTACAACTGTTTGATATTTAATAAATAGGCAAACATACATTTTTATAGCTAAATCGCCCAAGTTGTTCGCTCCAACGCTGACTACGGGATTTCCATGCTGTACTTTAAAGCACCACTCGGCCTGCTGTAAACTGCGTAGTGGCTCTGTGGATCGTCTCCATCTACTAGGGCGGTTCTTTTCTGTGTCGCTGCTACAGGGATACCAAGATGGAAATCCAGGGGCTTTCTGGTGCCCAAAACATTCACTCTCAACATGGCGCCCTACACCGAAGCACTTCGTCTCCACATCGATCAGCCACAGGGTCGAGGTGTCGTTTTATTTGCACAGAAAATGAAGCGGACAGACAGTTGGATTCGTCTGAATCACGAAGTGACAACAACAACAACACCAGCCCGAAGACATCACCGTTTCGCCTACTGGCGGAAAATGGTAGCGAGACGGCTTGTTTGTCTGTCAGCAAACCACAAGCAACCGATAGATCTAATTTGCCTGGTAACAGACCGAGTGGTGGACTTCATAACGTGAACACTGAGAAGAAAAATGAGCTCAGCGCACTGCTTGGTTGTCAGGAGCCTGTTGGGAACGCCTGGAAGTATGGGGTAGAAAGTAGCGATAGTGTAATGCAAATGGCGCTGCCTCTGTTTGAAGGGGAAGAGGAACCAATGCCGCAGCGGCAGCCAACGTTACTGTCTACAGTTTTACGGCAGCAGCGTGAGGACGGCGCCTTCAAACAGCTTTCATTGCCTGGGAGCTTCGGCGCTGCGAACAGGACAGATAAAGTTAACGAAGAACTGTATGCTTTTAATGCTGTTCAAGACGATGGCAACAGCGAGGCAAGCAAACACCGACCGGATCTATCATCTGAGGACAGCGATAAAATAAAAGGTACAAAGCCAGAGTGCTCTAAAGCAAATCCCTGTGGCTCCATGGAGGTTGGAAACAGCAGTAGTGTTATTCTCTGTGAATGTAATAGCAACTTGAACTGTCTTGATGCCCAGTCCTCGAAAAAGACAGACCATTTCAACTTACATAACGAAAATTGTACCGTGATCAATGCTAAACGGGCGGCATGTCACCACACTGTCGAAGATGTTGTACTGACAAACAAATATGGCGATAAGATTTGTGGGCAGATTTGTACCGAAAACAACGGCGGTAAACTGGTTAGGGAGATGTCGTCGCAGTCCCGTATTGACGACAGCGGTATCTTCATTTCAGGTGACTCTGGCGTTGTGGACGTCATGGACACCTCGGACTTGATTTCAGACTCAACGGGGCTTCAGGACAGTGCACACCCGTCCACGGCCTCCACAAGTCCTCCATCTAGTGAAACCTTTTCCGGAACTATCACGATAAACAACCAAAGCATCATAGTGACCATAGAAAACGGGGTGCTGACTCTCGCTGCTCCACCAGAGGGATATATCCACAAAGAGGATGACATGGTCAGCTTGAAGGAACATCTGGGAATGAAAGACAATGAAGATATTGTTCTTCTCAACTATGACAGTGGTACTAAATCTATAGGGAAGATCAGCACGCTTGCAATGTCCAGTACTAGCCAGCAAGAAGAGCCTAGACTTGGGTTGTCTGTGAGTGAGTCAGAGCTTGCTCTGGTTGATGACTGCTCACTGTCAGAGCTGGGCACCTCTCTGGACTCCTGTCCCATCATCAAGCAGGAGGCAGGGGTGCTGTGTGCTGTAACAGAGGCTGATCTGGTCACTGCATCCCCTAAAGCCACCGTGACCGACTGTGACAGTGAGGACTTCCACTCTGCACCACTAGTCAGGTCAAAGAGAGAGACTGTGGCCTCTTTTGGCTGTCCAGAACCTGGCTGTTCTGCTACATTTGACACACGTCAGAAACTCAAGGTTCATCTCCTGAACCACGCAGAGGATCCACGCCCCTACCAGTGCACGGTGGAGGGCTGCGGCTGGGCTTTTGCCACCTCTTACAAACTAAAGAGACATCTTCAGTCCCATGACAAGCAGCGGCCACACCCGTGCCTGTTTGAAGGCTGTGGGCGGCGGTTCACCACCGTCTACAACCTGAAGGCTCACGTCAGAGTCCATGAGCAGGATAATTCCTTCATCTGCGAGATCTGCAGCGAGACGTTTCGCAGTGCTACACGACTTGCTAATCACCAGAGGGTCCACTTTGAACCACAGAGGCCCCACAAATGTGAATTCCCAGGTAACACAAACAGATTTTTTTTCATTTGCTATTTATTATTTTCTAATTCCACTTTTACTTATACACTCACTCCACCTGCTGTTGCCACATAGTCTGATATTGTACAACCACACAATGGTTTCACAATTTGTAGATATGAAGTGAATTACCTAACAAGATAGCCTGTTTAGCCTGCTAATGTGTTACCTACTCTATTGGTTTAATGCTTTATTCCAAAGCAATGAGTGAGGCACAGTATTTGATTTTAAGGAGCCTTATTGTCTCAAGCACTCAGTGGCTGTTTTTAGGGAAGCTTGTTTGACGTTTACTTAAAAACATTTTCCAGAATGAAATTAAATAAAGCAAATCTTTAAAATTCCTTTGTTTCAGTTAGCTTCATGTCTAGACATTGCAACAATATTTGTAATTTCACGATATCATGATATAAAAGTTTCTGGTTACTGTCATCGGACTGTGACCATATCTACCAGGATATTACATATGGTTATTTTGCTACTCTAACTACAGAATTTGAAACTGACATAGCGAATGTTCCATCTTCACCTTTTAGAGCTGGTATGTGGTAGCATTTCAGTTTTCCCATTTCAATAAATAACACGGGCAGAAAGAAAACTCACAAAACACATATTAACATGCAAATACTGCATGTTACTACGGGAATACTAGCCCCATTTAGAACTGAGACAGTTCTGGATGCATCTCACAGAAACAGTCGGAGCACGGCCGTGCATTACACTGTAACAGAGGTGAGCAAACAAACCTGTCACACATAGGCAAAACCAGCTCCTTAGTAACCACCCTCAAGAATTTTCTCTTGAAAAAGTAGACCACAGTGTTTGAAAAGTACCTCAAGTAATACTGGCTGGCACAGCCATCAGACAGGGTGAGTTAAATCTGCCTAGGAGGTACTAAAACACTGATGATCCACTGTGAGTGTGACTGGTTTTGTTTACAGGATCCAGCTGTAGCAATGATATGTTATCTTATTTCATAAAAAGACTACTACATTATTAAATTTTTTTAAATATATGTTATACAAAAGCCCACTGATTTACTTAGTAAGGGGGATTTTCTTAATTGTTTAGAATATTGCATCAAATATTGTATTGTGGGCTTTTTATCTTGGTAATATCTTTACATCTCCATTTACATCTAAAATCTGTTAAATATTGGTGGCACAGAATGCACTTCTAAGACTACCACTGTCTTCCTGTAGGTTGTGAGAAAACCTTCATCACCTTCAGTGCCCTCTTCTCCCACAATCGAACCCACTTCAGAGAAACAGGCCACTTCACCTGCACTTACCCAGGCTGTGATAAGACGTACGACAAGGCCTGTCGTCTCAAGATCCATATGAGGAGTCACACTGGTAAGCAGACACTAGATTTGAGCCTCAGTAATAATGATAACCACTTTGATTGGCCAGGTATGTTACACACACACACACACACACACACACACACAAGAAATCTGTCTGGTATAGAACCAAGGCAGCCATTTGTGGTGCCAACACACACACACCAGTGGTGGCAGTGTCCCTGTAAGGTGCTGACCCAGCCATTGGGAGTAACTTGGGGTTCAGTGTCTTGCCCAAGGGCACTTTGACATGTGGAATGGGGAGAATGGGAATCAAACTGCCGACCTTCCAGTTAGGGCATGACCGCTCTACCTCCTGAGCCACTGCCGCCCCTTTAACATCATGTTTCTGCCCAAAATTCCACCCAGTGGTTCTACAGGGTGGGCTTTAATTCTCTTTGATTGGATCTAAAGTAGGGTTTCCGCATTTACTATAATAAAACTACAAATCCAAACTCTGCAGCCTGCTCAGAATTTATCAGAGGACACTCAACTAGCACACTGTGGTATGGGAGGTCACGTAGCATGTCTTAAGTGGTTGTTTCTGTTACTTTAATTGACCTGATATGGGGAAGTGCAAATTCAATGAGACCTGGACCAAAAACAGTGTATTCACATGGTTGAATTCATTAAACACAATGAATTTGAGCCATGTGCATGAAAACTTTGAAATTAGGAACTCTGGCTATGAAGGCACCTGAGTCACATGGGAAGTCAGAAAAACACAAAACCATCTCCAGTAAACACCTGCCATGAAAAGATGTTTTACTGGATTAACATCAGGATCAACATCAAGGCCTTAAAAGTGTCTTAAGATGAACTTGGTGAAACTTGCAGCATGTTAAGGCACACGGTCAGTTAACAGTGGCTTACATTCAACTTAGCTCTTTAATTTCACAATAGTCAGCATTCAGGCTACACAGATATTTGAGACCAAATAAGTAATTCCCCAATCATGTGATGCTGTGAATGTGTTCCTCTTTGTTCACTCATTTCAAAGTAGCTGCTAATGCAGCATTTTTCCCAAGACATTAAAATCAATAAGAATATGCCTTTACTGCAAACAGGATACAATATTATTCCAAAATAAATCAACTTGAGCTTAAAATCAGCAACCATATTTCTGCTAATGCTTACATTTACAAACACCTGCTTTTTGTCTGGACACAAGATGTCGCACACTATCATCATGCAGCTCTTCAGAAACTCTCCCTCGGTAAATGTCCGGCCTGATTTTCTCCTCTGCCCCAATAAAACTTGCTTTCACAGCAGCTTCACTGTGTGATTTCACTTTGGTGAAAACGTCTGCTGTGATGTCAGATTCCTCTTCAACTCCTCTACCTTCTGTAGCTTCTGCTCTGCATTTACGTTTTTCAGCTTGTCCTGATGTTTTGTCTCGTAGTGCCGTCTTAGGTTATATTCCTTAATTATAGCCGCATTAGCTCCACAAATAAGACACACAGGTTTACCGGTAATGTCAGTAAACATATACTCAGCCTCCCACCGGTTTTGAAAGGCTCTGTTTTCAGAATCAACTTTTCTCTTGGCCATTGTTAGGGGCTAGCTTTGACTTGAAATTAGGGTTGTATACATCAACAACCGCTTGATTGATCTGAGTAATTGACGTGGGAATGATCGCAGGTAGCCTATCGTTCGGTAAGGCAGCTGTTGCGCTGCATTATGGGATTTGAAGGTTGTGTGTTATCGGTGCTTCATATCGCCGGGCCATTAAAATTATCTTGCAGGCCGGATGTGGCCCGCGGGCCTTGAGTTTGACACATGTGCTTTACTGACTTGACTGAAAAGTGCTGCGTAGGTTTAAAGTGGGCCAGCTTTGTGCCAAGAGTTAGCACTAGTGAGCAGATAAAGCCTTGTGAAGGACTGGGGCTCACTTTCTATTTGTCCAAAAAAAAAAAAAAGACTCAAAGCTGTTGGTGGTTTGTAAAACGGAAAACTGCACTTCAGAACTGGGGCCAAAGCACCACCAACACCTCATAGGCTTTTGAAAGGCGTAGCCCTGTGTTTGTGCAAAAGGGTTGCAGCAGTACATCGGTTTCACAGTGCATCATGCATATGAAAACTGATGGTTATCATACCATACACATTTGTTTATAACTGGTATTGAACAGGGGAAAAAAACCACAATGTGTGCACACCTTTCTTCCCCGACTGCCTGTCAGACTCTGCAATGGGTGCCACATGCAGCAGACAAATGGCAGAGAGAAGGAAGCTGATAGAGCATCACCAAACCATCCCTCCATGCAGATCAAAGTATGTGACGCGTTTATAATTTGAATCCCAATAAGTAAAATGTGAGCGTATAAACATCGGTCACAAATGTTCTATAAAAATCATTTTCCACATTATTTATTTGTTTGCTAATCTCTGACTTACAGCAGGACTCACCCTGATCCTGATCTGACCCCAGAAACACACACACAGACTTCCCTAGCTCACATGTGAGTGAGTGAAGGTACAGACAGAATCAGTCTGGCTGCTCTGTCGTGCACCTACAGTAAATTAGCAACTACTCTGATAATCGTTTAGTGCATTGTGATGGCATGTCTCACTGTTGTTTTACCAACCAATCAGTTGAATAAAAGAGAAAATCAGCTGATTAATCCCTAAGGAGAAAAATCAGCAGTTGCACTTGGATACAAACTAGTCCAGCAGAGCTCCACCTCGACCAACTGCAAGTCAAGTCCTGCTTTTACATCAGTGCACGAGTAACAGGCTGTTGATGTAATGATATAACAGTATAGGATAGATAGTATAACACTTTTCTTCACTGAGTAGCCTACTCCTACTTACAGTGCTTTATGTACATTTTTGTGATAATACTTGATTTTGCTTAACATTTTCAATGCAGGACTTCTACTTGTAACAGAGTAGGCTACTGTTACAGTGTGATAGTTGTACTTTTACTTAAGTAAAGGATGCAGATACTTCCTCTCCTACTGGTGCTATCATGCTTTAGTTATTCAACATTCTAGTTATATGCTGTTTTTTAAATCATGTTTCTAATTGTTTATTCTTTAGGGTCAGTCACTGCAATCCAGCTCAGTCAACTGACAGTCACTTGCAATAAAAACACACATTTTCTCCATTCTTTTGGGGGTCAAGGTAGCTGATAATAATAATAGTAATTGTGTAATACCATATACTGTGAAACCGTGATATTTTCTGAGACGGTTATCATACTGTGAAAATCTCATACAGTTACAACTCTAGTGTCCAAGTAAGGTCCAAGAAGCCTCTGTGATATTAACAGCTCTTTAGTATTTTGTTCAGAAGTACTCCATTATAAATAGATGTTGATGTGCACCAGTTTAACTATGATGACCAAAAAGCCTAAATATAAATACTTTACTCCAAAATATTAGTGTACTTTATTAGTCCTAATGTAATCTAACTGATTATTATGAGGTACCAGTTGGAAATGTTCTCATACTTGCCTTTCTAGTGTACGTCACCATGTTTTTAAATGATCTCTCTTCTTCTTACATTAATATCTTTAGTTTACACATTTAAAAACACTCTAAATCAGTCAGGCACCATAGAAAAACCAGTGACATTTGAAGCATCAAATGCCATTTGCCACATGATTTTGTTCATATGATACAAACTCAGACACAATGTATGAAAACTTGTGCTTCACTGGAGTGAAACAAGTTTCAATATTATCTGCCAATCTCTGGTTATTACACTGCCAACCAGTCTGTCTTGGTGATATAAGCTTCAAATCCTTTGCACCAGTAAAGACCCTTCTACTTTCCTGTGTCCAGGTGAGAGGCCATTTGTTTGTGACTCAGAGGGCTGTGGCTGGTCTTTTACCAGCATGTCAAAGTTACTCCGACACAAAAGGTAAGTCAGTTGTCCGTAATAAGGAGTAGAGCTACTTTGACTTCCTTTCATTACTGAGGGCTTCAGGTTTTGTGGTCCACACTACAAACTAGTCTCTGTCACAGTCTCAGTTATAGTGTTGTTCTTGTTATGTAGATTTGTATACAAAGTTGAATATAAAGTTTTCTTCGTTATTAAAGCGATCCAGTAATAGTTGCGTTAATGTTTTTATATCAATGAGTACACTACAGACAGGAGTGGTAAGCAGCATCAGGAAGGGCATCCAGCATAAAACCTGTGCCAAATCACACGTGGATTGTTGGGATCCGCTGTGACGTCCCCCAAAAAACGGGAGCAGCTGAAAGACAAACAACAAATCATTTTTACTGTCTAGGATGACCTGCTTGCTGAAAAAATTCACAGTGCAGTGTATGTATTGCTAGTCTGTTGGTGTATATGCTGCTTCTCACCATTTAATATTAAAAACAGTCTTTCTAGGATTGTCTGCACTATTTACATCAGGAAAGTGTCAAGAGACTTCACTGAAGAGAGGACATTTTTGAGGAATAAATGAAAGTTGAGGGACTGAACATCTGCATGTGTGCGATTGGGGCAGTGCAACAGCTGTCAGTAATCAATGGGACATAAAGCCCCTATAAAGTATTACCAGAGATTAACGCATATGATTTAAAAGTGATTTCCACACAGAGGAACTTGTTAGTCAGGGATATGATTCCTGTTTGCCATCACAGCTTTACTTCATTGAAAATGTCTTGGAAATGTTATTTCTTGAAAAGAGTGGGAACCCTGTTGTCGGTTTTGCTTCCCATTACCAAATGTAGTTTCAGTTTTTGATATAGTTGAATCAGAATGCAAGTTTTTTTTTCTGTTGTGTTTGTGTTATCCAACCCATTGTAGCTACAATGATGTGAGAGAATGTCTTGCTGACCACAGACCCCTTCTCTCTGTTTATCAGGAAACACGATGATGACCGTCGCTTTGTTTGCAGAGAGGAGGGTTGTGGAAAGTCCTTCACCCGTGCAGAGCATCTTAAGGGTCACAGCATCACCCATCTGGGCACCAAGCCCTTCCAGTGCCATGCAGAAGGTAGATAGAAATAGTAGAAACAAAATATAAGTAGGATGTTTTCTGGGAGAAAGTCAATAGTTATACTGTTGATGCAATTTTAAAATCAAGATGTTTGATCAATTGTAAAAAAAAAAAAAAATACAGGTATGTATTTATTTATTTATTCACTCAGGGCTCGAAATTAACTCTATCCCGTAGTCCCAGGGACAATAAAAATAGCACCCAGGACACAAAGATTCAGCCTTTGGGACCATTTTGGGGAAATAAAGAAATTACAGCGCAAGCATTTTGCAGTGTGGAAGGAGACGCTGAGCGGCCTAATGCACTGTGCACGGATGAAGTAGCAAGGGTGAATTGTTTTAATCAATCATGAATTTCATAGTTCTCTTGGACATAAAAAAATTATTATAATATAAATGGGTTGCAAAATACACTTGGGCGGCCGTTAAGATACCTGGGCAGCCCGCCCAAGTAAATTCAGTATGTGGGAAACCCTGATGATATGACAGATTTCTTGTAAACAAATTTGGTTTTATATATTCTTAAGTACACCTTGACCTTTTGACTGACTTTGGTGCTGGTCTAAAAAATACGTCTTTTGTGTTGTCAGTTTTGTAAAATCTGTCTTTTATAAACTGGACAGCTAAAACAGTGTTGAACTTTGGCTTGAACACTGGTTTGAATAGACCCGTCTTTTACTACTACTCAGAGCAGAATCTCTTGCAGTCTCACAAAGTTCTTATCCAAAAGGCGTTAAGGCTAGAGACGCAATAGTAAGATAAAAATAAAAAAAATCATTCCTTTTACAGCCCAGAGTTGTGTGTAGTTGCAGTAGTTAACTATAAAAAATTGCAACAATGTAGTTTAAGTACTTCACGACACAACTATGAATGTAGTTTAACTACCAGCAAGTTACTGCAGAATGTTGTTAAACATGTAGTTCACTCTTTTCCAGCACTGCTTGTTCCTGTAGCTTAGCTGCCATCTCAGTGAGTAAAATGTAGGCATGGGACAATATGTTGAAATTCAATATATTGTGATACAAAAACATAAATGTATATTGTTTTGTCTAGCAATATATACATCATGTAGTCTTCATACACTAGCGACTTCTTTGTACTTAAAAAAAAAAAGGACAAGTATTTAAGAGTACAGAGTGTACACGTATTCTGCAGCTAGTCATACATTCTTGTCACTGAATTTTTAATTGTATTTTTTAAGTTTTTTTTTATTGAAACCAATGAAGAAAAAGTCATATCTCCACATCCCTAGTAAAAAGACTATAAGATTAATGGATCAAAACATCCGTTAAACAGTCAAACTTGCAAAAAATCAATAATTTCAGCTCTGCCCCTGGTCTTCCATCCACTGGTATGTGTTAGCTGTAGCGAGGTGGTTGGCTAATTGCTATAACATGCAAAAGCCAAAGCTAACCGTCCAACCTAATTTGCCATGTATTTTAAAAGTTCTGGTGGACTTTGTGTCTGAGAGCAGCCCCCACCCTCCTCCCTGTCCCACCAGTACTTGCCAGCTATGGAGCCAACATCTGCAGTCAGAACGAGGCTGAATGAGAGAGAGTGACTGATTTGTAAACATGGGTACAAAAACAGGTTACAGTTGAAAGTGGGTCGTGTTTCTTTTAAGGCAGGCAAAGCACAATGCAACCATTTAATTGATCTGCCTTAGAACCGAGGCTGATAAATTAAGATATAATTGTGAGTAAAATGTAATTAAGAAATCTGCTGGATGCCAATTTAAAATGATGTTTAGATTTATAGCTGTCATGGTGTTTAAACTAAAGTAAAATGAACTGTCTACTGTGTATGGCAAGTGTGCATTTTCATCACTGTATGTCAGTCAGATGGTTTGCATGTACTGTATTTTTTCACTGATGTTTTTACTGACTAAACATATTACAAAAAACAGTAATAACTAAAATAAGCAGACTTTAAGTAAAGACAACTAATTAAATAGCTAAAAGCTTTTATTCAGACATAACTAGAATAGAATAACTAGCAGAACTTTCATTGTGAGCTAAGGACTTTATGTGAGAGAGTACACTTTGTTTGGGACTGTGGTTGTTAGAGTTTGGGATAGTTAAACATTTGTATCCTGTGTATTTTTCTTCAGGCTGTAATGCCAAGTTCTCAGCACGCAGCAGCCTGTACATCCACTCCAAGAAGCATAAGCAGGACGCCAGCACCCTGAGGACCCGCTGTCCTGTGGCCAACTGCTCCAAGCACTTCTCCTCCCGCAGCAGCCTTAGGAGCCACATGCTCAAACACCACCACCTTAGTCCCGGTTAGTAACATCATTGATGGCTCCTGACCTCAGCAGTCATATATTTATTGGAATTTTTTTCAATATGGTATAACCTTCCTCTTTAACCAAAGTTGAACAGCTCATAGATGGCTTACTTTTTTACAGTGGTGTGAAAAAGTGTTTGCCCCCTTACTGATTTCTTATCTTTTTGCATGTTTGTCACACTGTAATGTTTCAGATCATCAAACAAATTTAAATATTAGTCAAAGATAACACAAGTAAACACATCATGCAGTTTTTAAATGAAGGTTTTTATTATTAAGGGAAAACAAAATCCAAAACTACAAAACCCTGTGTGAATAAGTGTTTGCCCCCTAAACCTAATAACTGGTTGGGCCACCCTTAGCAGCAACAACTGCAATCAAGCGTTTTCGATAACTTGCCATGAGTCTGCCACAGCGCTGTGGAGGAATTTTGGCCCACTCATCTTGGCAGAATTGTTGTAAGTCAGCCACATTGGAAGGTTTTCGGGCATGAACTGCCTTTTTAAGGTCATGCCACAGCATCTCAATTGGATTCAGGTCAGGACTTTGACTAGGCCACTCCAAAGTCTTCATGTTGTTTTTCTTCAGCCATTCAGAAGTGGACTTGCTGGTGTGCTTTGGATCATTGTCCTGCTGCAGAACCCAAGTTCGCTTCAGCTTGAGGTCACAAACGGATGGCCGGACATTCTCCTTCAGGATATTTTGGTACACAGCAGAATTCATGGTTCCACTTATCACAGCATGTCTTCCAGGCCCTGAAGCAGCAAAACAGCCCCAGACCATCACACTACCACCACCATATTTTACTGTTGGTATGATGTTCTTTTTCTGAAATGCGCTGTTACTTTTACGCCACACATAATGGGACACACACCTTCCAAAAAGTTCAACTTTTGTCTCGTCTGTCCACAGAGTATTATTCCAAAAGTCTTGGAGATCATCAAGATGTTTTCTGGCAAAACTGAGACGGCCCTTTATGTTCTTTTGGCTCAGCAGTGGTTTTCATCTTGGAACTCTGCCATGCAAACCATTTTTGCCCAGTCTCTTTCTTATGGTGGAGTCATGAACACTCACCTTAACTGAGGCAAGTGAGGCCTGCAGTTCTTTGGATGTTGTTGTGGGGTCTTTTGTGACCTCTTGGATGAGTTGTCGCTGCGCTCTTGGGGTAATTTTGGTCGGCCGGCCACTCCTGGGAAGGTTCTCCACTGTTCCATGTTTTCGCCATTTGTGGATAATGGCTCTCACTGTGGTTCGCTGCAGTCCCAAAGCTTTAGAAATGGCTTTATAACCTTTTCCAAACTGATAGAGCTCAATTATTCTCTTTCTCATTTGGTTTTGAATTTCTTTGGATCTCGGCATGATGTCTAGCTTTTGAGGATCTTTTGGTCTACTTCACTTTGTCAGGCAGGTCCTATTTAAGTGATTTCTTGATTGCGAACAGGTGTGGCAGTAATCAGGCCTGGGTGTGGCTAGAGAAATTGAACTCAGGTGCGATAAACCAGTGTTTTGACAGGGGGGCAAACACTTGTTCACACAGGGCTATATAGTTTTGGATTTTGTTTTCCCTTAATAATAAAAACCTTCATTTAAAAACTGCATGATGTGTTGACTTGTGTTATCGTTGACTAATATATAAATTTGTTTGATGATCTGAAACATTACAGTGTGACAAACATGCAAAAAGATAAGAAATCAGTAAGGGGGCAAACACTTTTTCACACCAGTGTAACTGTTCAACTTAATGTTATGCTAAATGGAAGCCTTCCTAAGCAGGCAAAAAGAAAACACCTAAACAAAATTTAGGAAGTAACTGATGTTTGGCTATTATGACATGTCAATTAATTTGTGTGAGAAATTTGACAGTACCACCATCTTTGCATGCCATCTCAGCCACAATACATGGCAGAAGAATACACATGCATATTTAGAAAGAGGGATTTCCTGCTATAATCTTAAAATAACTTTTATGTAGTAGGAACCCAATGGGGGGGACACTGAGAAAAAGACCAGCTAGAATCTAGTAGAATAAGCAGGCATATGGAAAATGGAGAGACAGGGTTTTTTCATATGGTACAGTGCAGCTGTCAGGATTGGCAAAAGGTAAAGGCATCACAAACAGGTTGCTTTAAATAAAAGAGCTGAGTCACGTGTGCTGATGAACAGCGATTTCCATAATATCATGTTTCCTTAATAGTGGCAGGGGAAAGAAATATGTGTTTTTGTCACCAATTGTGAACAGTCTGTTCAAGAGCTACAAGCCTGGAGCCTATAAAACACTTTTGCTGAACTTAATAATTGATTTCACTACATGTTGCAAAGGAAATGCTTACTATCCTATAGGGCTGCAACAACTACTAGATAAAATCAGTAAAAGAAATAGTTGGGAATGAATTTAATTATCGATTAGCTGGGTAGCTGTGTGAGACAGCCAAGAGTAGACACAGCTGGGTCAGCGACTGTGTGAGTGCTGCTGTTACACACTCCAGTTTGGTAGGTGGTGGTATTGCACCTGCAAATTGGTTTGCCAGCCGCCTTTCGAGAAGAAGAGAACATCAGTGAGGCGTTTCAAAACATTTGAAAAATGGCAGAAGTTACAGCAGAGAATAGTGAAACAGCAAGTCGTTTAAAGTTTGTGAGCATGTTATTTTAAAAACTGTTGCCAAACACATCTGTAGAGCTGGGGGGAATGACGCTAATTCATTAGCTCATAAAGAAAAGACAAGTTTGAGTTAATGTTACAGATGAAGGGGAGCTTAATGTTAATTCATTAATTTTAGCTAATGTAAGTAATTATGAAACAAATTATGATGTACCTGATTTTAAGTAGTGTGGTTACATATATTATGACGCTAATTGTATATTTAGGAACATAATGGTGAGTTGTGTCGGCTGCTGATAATGGGTACAAAATGCATTTTCATTTGTGTAAACATGAATGACGCAAACAGCCAAGCATTATATTAATCACAATAAGCAAAACAATCTTATAGGTGTGTACAGGAGCATTGATGACACATATGCAAGTTAAGAATAGGCTTAAATGTGTTGAGGATTGTTTAGGCATACTCAGATTTACTTTAGCCATCAGCAGTAGCTTGTACTGGCCCTTTACATTAACATGGTATGTTTTATGATCATATACAGGATAAATCATTTTAAATTATAAATGTATGTTAACACTGTAAGGACCTGTAGTGCACATATAAACACTCTATTCTGGAACAGATACTTTTGCATAGAAACATTGCATAACATTGTTTCACAGAATGCATTTGTTATTGTAAGGTGGAAAATAGATTTCGGCATATTTTTGTATATCTGATTAATCACTTGTTAAAATAATTGTTAGATGCAGCCCTACTATCCTATCACTTCCACACTCTTCTCTCTCCCCAATCCCAGATGTTTTAAGTCAGATGGAGACCACGCCCACCCTGACTCCCAGCAGCGAGCTCATCAGCTCCACTCCAACAACGATCGCCGGGCCTGGTATTGCTGGAGGTGACCAGCTGACCAACTTGGACCTTAGCTCTCTTTTTTCTGCTGTGCCTGGAGGCTCTCCACAAGCTGCTGGTGTCGGGGTGGGAATCCCTCTTGGTGGTAGCAGCTCTGCTGGCACATTCACTATGGACCTCTCCCTCATCGCCTCAGGCATCCTCACCATTGACCCCTCCTCAGTTGGTACCACACTTGGTACTAGCACTAGTGCCACACTGGCCAAGGCTGTGGACCCTCTTATCCTAGCAGTCAGTGCAGACATGGCCCCCCACCATGGTCTGGAAGGAACGGTGGGTGACGTCCTGCCCCCACAGGGCACTCTCAACCTGGATGATGTGCAGACAGTTACTCCGGAGGCCCTGGGAACACTAACGGCTCACACCATGCAGGGTACTGGTGCCTCCATAGACCCCACTCTACAGCACCCTTTGAGCTCCTCCAGCGCACTGAGCATGGAGCCCACAACTACACTGGCTGTGGCTCCTGTGGCCGAGCTGCTAGCTTCACCCTCTAAGGTGGTGGACGTTGGTGGAGCGGGGCCTCTGCTGGGTTGTGTGGAGGTGCTGGGGAATCAAGAAAGAGGAAAAGTCCTCACCCAGTTTGTTTTTCCCAGTCACAGCAGCAGCTTCAGCCCTCAGAAAGACTCAGAACTCAATGCTGTGTCACCAAGCAGCTTCCTTGTGAGTAGCCACATAGTCTTGTAACTCAGTTTAATATCCACCCATCAACTATGGGCTGCTTATCTGGAGTTGGATTGTGGTGGCAGGTTCAGTAGGGTGGTTCAGACGCCCCTCTTCCCAGGGATTTTTCCAGCACTTCCTGGGGAGCCCAAGGTGTTCTCAGGGTAGATTAGATATATAAATTCTCCAGTGTATTCTGGGTATACAGATCGTGCAGGCACGGGTCTGCTCTCTGTTCCATTTAATTTTGCTATGTAACAAGTGGCACACCTGCACAATCAAGTGCAACGCAGCATGAAGTAATTTATCCAATTACTATAGCTGTATATTAGGCTATATCATTCTACTGTTTGTTGACATAGTGTGGATTCACATTATCTATCATTTTTGAAATTATCATGTGAAGTCCACAAACACGAGCAGTCCTAAAGTGGCACGATCACCACAATTCACTAAAATGACACATGGTGGACATTTTTAAAATGGATCAGATTATAAGATCATCAGATCAGTCACCCCTGATGCCGCAGCCCTAATGCAAACCCATTTTGTATTTCAGGAGAGTGGAGGGTCAGCCAGGACAGACTACAGAGCCATCCAGCTGGCCAAGAAAAAGAAGCAGAGAGGTCCATCAGCCTCCTCCGGTAACACACACTAACTAGTTAATGCCTTTTATGTAATGTGCTGCATTCAGCCTAGACGGAGACTACAGGCTAAAGTGTCTTTACAACAGTGAGTGATGCTGATGTGTTTGCTCAATTCAGGGAGTTCAGGATTGAGTCAGAGAAAAAGTAAAACGGCAAAAGCAGCCATTGCTTCTGCACCACTGGCTCCGTCTGTTGCTCAGTATGGTGAAGCAGCTCCAACAGCCAGTGGGGGTCTGACTCTGCGTGACTCCGTCGCCCAGTATGTCCAGATTCAGCTGCTGCAGGTGAGCTGCCCAGCCACCCAACAACTAGTCTGTATGTAGATCTGATGTAGCCACCTGACCTGACAATTCTTTGGCTTGTTGTCAGGGACCAAACACTAAGGTGAAGGACACAGCATTTAAAGTTCAAAAACATGGGCTTTTTATTTACCCCAAAATAAGGGAAAAAATACAAACATCAATATCAAACAAATTGGGCCCTAAAAGACATCAACAAAAGATAAGGATACTAAAAATACAGCAAAATGAAAGGCACAGTAGCTCAAAGAAAAACCAACTCACCTGGCAAATGACACACATGCTCAACATATGTACTGGCTGGTCAAACCAGTACCACACACAGGGAATGGTCAAAGACACTAATCCACCAATAAACACTGAACACACAGTCCAATAACAACTAAATATTTCTTCTTAGATGTAAAAAAACAACAACAAAAAAAACAAACTTGACAAAGTTTTAACATAAACTACAAACAAATGATATATTTCTCACAAACTCCCCCATTTCCTGTATTGGACACTTGGTGCAGTCCAGGCATAGTTCCATGGACCAGGAACATGGTAACTCCAAAAGAAAATTTATTACACATTAACAAATGTGCATGCCTCATTGATTGTGTGTGTCTAAACCTAATGTCAAATCAAATGCCTAAAATCTACCTACATCTTAAATCTACACACATGAACAAAGAAAGCTAAATGAAAGCAAAAGAACATGACCTAATTAATTTCACTGCTGGTGGCGGCTTAGGCCCTCCTATGGCGAAGGCCAGGGCTGAGGCTTTCACACTTGTGTTGAGAGAAGCATGTTCTATATAAGATGATACCAGCTGCATTGCATAACCACTGTTGTCGAAAGACGTGCTGATCAGTGTGTGTTCATGCAGGATGACCCAGCCAGTGATGGTGATTTGGCCTTCCAGCTGAGCTCGCAGCCCTCCAGCTCCCATTCTCAGCTCACTGTCGACCTGCCTGTCAACATTTTACAGGTGAGACAATTTTCATCTACAATTGTCTGAAGCCTGTTTTATGAACACTCATGAGAAGCAAAGTCATACAAATCTGCTTAGAGATTCAATGAAAATATTTCATAACAAATCAAGCATTACCCCCCAAGAAAGTCATGACAGTTAAAAATGTGATAGCTAAACCACTTTTTCGTTAGTTTTTTTATATCATGATTTAGATAGGTAGAAGCAAAAATTAACACAATGTGTGAATGTAGATTTTAAAAAAGAGCAGAAAAACATAAACAAATACTCGGATCCCATTGTCAAGCCAAGACTGACCCGGCAGCTTCCATGTGAAACACACAGAGACATTTCCACATGGTGTGATTTGGTGGGGAAATGATGACTCCGGCCATATTCCTTTCAGTTGGTTTGATGCAAGAGAACTGAGCTCTGTGATTGTGTTTTTACAGGAACCTTCAGTGATGGCCGAGGACGACAATGGCTCTGACAACTCCCAGTTCACAGGAAGCACAATCAACCTTCAGGACCTGGAGTGACCAGCACAGAGCCTGATGTGAGGATTGACAGTCCACAGTTTACATCAGCACAACACACACATCTTGAGATGTGCCACTCCATCCAATGGTTGTCCAGACTTCGAAAGCCTTTTTAGGGGTGGTTGAATGTGTGTGCGAACAGTTCTATGGATGATGTACCTTAGGAAGAGGGGATGAGGATTCTGTGTGTTTTATCTGAAGTCCAGTTTGTACCAAAATCAAAGCTGAGAGCACTCACACACATAAGAGGCTCCTTGTTCCTCTGTGTGCTGCATGTGTTCACACTAATGGTGTCTACTCCATTGTGCCACATTGCTGCTCATGCACCCACAGTGCATCATCTTCGCTCCAGTTGCCTTACAGACACCTCTTGCTGTGTGCACCTCCTCCAGTCAGTTCTCTGCTCTATTTGTTGCCAGTTTAATTTCTTACATTGTTAGATTTATTTTTCTATGGCAGCATTTCATGTTGAAAACATGCGTGATCATGTTTAACAATTTCATCTGCTTATTTATTGTTTAGCTGTGGGTTTACAGAATGGCAGAGCCAAATGAATTAAAGAATCAAAGCACAATCAACAGTTTGTTGAGAGGCCTTCCTTTTACGTTTTTAATTGTATGAAACATGCAGGGTTTTCAAGGATCACAAGATTCATGAAGGGAATAACAATATAATATAATGGAAAGGAGTGTGGAGAAAAACAATTTGGTCATACTCTAACAACTGTTAGAATTTACAAAGAGGGTATACAGTATTTCAGTTCAGTGAAGCATGTGCAGTTACTGTGTCATTGCATTATCAGGACTGAAGGTGATATCAGTACGAAAGGTGAGATGTTTTATCAGTAAAATGTATTGGTGTCAAAAGTAAAAAATTGCCCCTGTAACCCACAGATCATTATGCAATCTGTGACAGCATTACATCAGTACTGATGCAGCAGTGTATAAGCAACAGTTTACAGTTGAAGTCAGAAGTTTATATACATTTAGATTGAAGTCAAACCTTTTTTTAACCTCTCCGCAGATGTCATGTTAAACTCATTTTGGTAAGTCGGTTGGGATGTAATTTATGCATGACAGGTAATTTTTCCAGCAGTTGTTTACAGATGGATCATTTCACATATATTTCACTATATCACAGTTCCAGTAGGACAGATGTTTACATACATTCAGTTCATAGAAAATTCCAGAAAATAATGTTAAGGCCTTAGAAGTTTTTGATAGGCTAATTGACATGTGCATGTGTGGATGTATTTTAAGGCGTATCTTCAAACTGATACCTCTTTGTTTGACATCATGGGAAAATCGAAGGAAATCATCCAAGACCTCAGGAAAAAAATGTGGACCTCCACCGGTCTGGTTCCTCCTTGGGAGCAATTTCCAAACACCTGAAGGTACTACGTATAAATACCATGGGACAACGCAGCCATCATACCACTCAGGAAGGAGACGTGTCCTGTCTCCTAGAGATGAACGTACTTTGGTCTGAACAGTACAAATCAATCCCAGAACAACAGCAAAGGACCTTGTGAAGACACTGGAGGAAACGGGTACCAAAGTATATATCCACAATAAAACCAGTCTTGTATGGACGTAACCTGAAAGGCTGCTCGGCAAGGAACAAGCCACTGCTTCAAGACTGCCATAAAAAGGCAGACTACTTTTTTGTAGCTGCACATGGGGACAAAGATCTGACTTCTGGAGAAATGTCCTCTGGTTTGATGAAACAAAAATTGAACCGTTTGGCCATAATGGCCATCGTTATATCTGGAGGAAAAAGGGGGAGGCTCATGAGATGAAGAACACCATCCCACCTGTGAAATATGGGGGTGGCAGCATCATGTTGTGGAGGTGCTTTGCTGCAGGAGGGACTGGGGCACTTCACAAAATAGGTGGCATTATGAGGAAGGAAGATTACAGTGCATCCAGAAAGTATTCACAGCGCTTAACCTTTTCCACATTTTGTTATGTTACAGCCTTAATCAAACATGGATTAAATTCATTATTGTCCTTAAAATTCTACAAACAATACCCCATAATGACAAGGTGAAAAAAGTTTGAAGTCTTTGCAAATTTATTGAAAATAAAAAATGAAAAAAATCACATACAGGTGCATCTCAATAAATTAGAATATCATGGAAAAGTCAATTTATTTCAGTAATTCAACTCAAATAGTGAAACTCGTATATTATATAAATTCAGTACACACAGACTGAAGTAGTTTAAGCCATTGGGTCTTTTAATTGTGATGATTTTGGCCCACATTTAACAAAAACCCACCAAATCACTATCTCAATAAATTAGAATATGGTGACCTACCACTCAGCTCAAAACACCTGCAAAGGTGTCCTGAGCCTTCAAAATGGTCACTCAGTTTGGTTCACTAGGCTACACAATCATGGGGAAGACTGCTGATCTGACAGTTGTCCAGAAGACAATCACAAGGAGGGTAGGCC